TGAAAATGAAGAGCATCTTTCTGTTTCACTTAAACTAGGCCGGACTTACTGGCAGGTAAAAAGGAGGTTGGAAAAGGCTTGCCTCAACATGTCTCCCCTAAACCTCTATATCTATATGGTTGTCCTAGTCCATTTTTTATAAACACGCAAATCTACCAAACAAGGCTACGCGGGACCAGCTTACAGTTGGTGCTTTTCAGAACTGCACTTTTCTAAGGTAATTTATACGATTTAGTATAGAACTGAGAGGCATTGTTTCACATGCTATACTGACTTTCCAAACATTTGAAGTATCATTTAGAGGCAACAAACCCAGTTCCACCCTCTTTCTCTCTTACGCTGAGATGCCTGCCCCACTTGGGGGACACCGCTCTGGTACAACGCTGGGGCAAGGGCAGTAAAGGAAGAAGTGGGGGAAGCGCACGGAAGTTGGGTGGAGGGAGGTCTCCTTACCCACTCTTCTGCCCTAGCTCTGCCAAGGGCGGCTCCTCACGGTGCCCAGCCGACTCACAACCCCCATAAACCTCGAAACCGGGCTATGTCCCAGCGGGGTGGGCAGGGAAGCAGGCAACGGAAGCTTTGTATTGCTCCAAACCACCCTGCCAAGATCCATGCTCTCCTTTCGGCCCGGAGGATGCTTTCCCTTTCAAAGCAAGTCCTCCAGGTGGCAAACTCCCGGTCCACACCGGCTGAAGTCTTCTGCATCCAAGGGGGCGCCTTCTCCGCAACCTTCACCCAGCCACCCGAAACTCTCTGCCACGATGTCCACCAATCCCTCTCTCCACCCCCGCAACCCTCCACAGACACACACGCCTGCCTGCGCCCCACCCAGGATCTCGGCGTACCCCTCCCCGAACCGGAGGAGGGCCCCCACACCAGCCCCCAAAGGCACACACCCCCTCCTCAGGCTCCAACCTCCTGGATCCCGTCGAAGCTGGATCGAGTACCTGGTCTGGCGGTGCTCTGGGGCTCAGAGGGGTTGGGAGCGATCCCCTTCCACTGGCGCGGAGCGCTCCCTTACCCACCAGAAGCGGTGGCTTCTCTCTTTCCCAGGAACGGGAGGGTGGAGAAGTGTGGGAGGGGAGGGGAGGGGTAAGCGAGAAGCCCAGGGGACGCCAGGGGCCGAACCGGAATCACTAGCGCCGGCCCCACCCTCGGCCTGGCGCAAAGCACCCGAGCCCTCTGGATAGGACAAACTAAAGCAGGCAGCGAGAAATGAACACCACCACTTCCGGGTCGCCCCTCTACTGCCCCTCCTTAGCAACCGCGTGGGGTTGCTAAGCGGAAGTACCTCAAAGACAGCACCCTCATTTCTTCTGGGACTGTCAGGAGGTAGCTGGGAGCGTATATATTTCTTTGGCAACACCCTTCTGCCTTCTCCTCCCGGTCTTAGACCGAGCCCACGCTTCCCAGCCGGAGTCACAAAGCCCATCCTGCTCTTCCCTTCAGTTGTACTACCCACCCCTCCCCCAACTCTCGTCTACTATGTAGACAAGCTTCCTCCTGCTGAGTCCCAGGCCGACCCATTGGCTCTTAAGGCTCTCTCTCTCAATGGTCCCTCGTGGGAGTTATCTTTTCTGGTAGTTTAGCAAGCATCTCCCTCTTGAGGATTTTCAGTTGTGTTTCAATTGGGTTATAAAAATCTTCAATGTTGTAAAAGCTTTCTCATGTACTTTGTTCTCCTATGACAGCTCATGAAACAGCAGTGAGAAAAGTTCTGTCTTCGCCTATCTTTTGTAAGGACAGTACATGGTTGTGTATGATCTGTAAATAACCTAGTTAAATGAAAGAGTAAAACAAAGATTCGCTGTAAATTGAGTAGAGTGATTTTAATCCTTAACAGAAAAGCAATGAGGAAAGGCCAAAGGAAGACTGTAATCAAGCTTCAGAAGGAGGAAGAAATTTAATCCTCCACTAGGAAAAAACGTTCATGCCTACACTGTGGACAAGAAAAGTGTTGCCAAGACTTCATTTATTCTTGTGTCAAAGTGATGTAAGCATGAACTACTAGTTGGAAAAACTACTAGTTGTTTATTGCTGGTAAAAACCAGCAATATAATTAATAATCTTTAGAAAAATGATCCATAACACTATGGCAGTTCATAGAAATGTAGTTGGGCATACAGAGAAAAACAAGTAAAAATCTTGGCTTTACTTTCCAATCTTAAATAAGTCTGTTTAAAAGCAGTAAAGCTTAAGAGTCGCCCCTGAATTTGTTCTCTGTTCCATGGCAGTAAATGTACTGGCAACTACAGCTTTAATTTTCTTCATCGTCATGATAACCTCTTAGTTACCAATAATGAACTTTGTCCACCTCAGCTGGTGCTGATGAAATGAGCTTTGGTAGCTTAAAAGAAACAGCAGGTATGTTGGTTCCCTTACATATGGGACAGAATTAAATTGTTTTATCCTAGACAGTTCAGTAAAAGCTTTAGGAACTCACTTCAGATTAAAATGTCAGTAGTAGGGTGTTATAAGTCTAAAACATTGCAACTCTTCTCATAGGGCATGCATACTTCCACATGTATGCATATACTTCCACACACACACACACAATTCATATTTAATCTGAGCACATCCAGTAATTAATTGTCCTTTTAAAAACCTGTCTGTAAGAAAGTAAGTGATAAGCCATTATCATGACAAAATAGAGCTTAGAATTTTAATTGCCAACAGATTTATTTAAAAAGTTAGAGAAATAAAACCATGAGCCCAACGAACAATGACTTATCTAAAACTACGGTGCACTTAAATGTCTCTAAAATTTTTAAAACATGATTTTGGCATGTGTTCTAAAGCAAGAAATGTTTTCTTGGGAAAAGTTAAGTTAAAATTAAATGTGGTATTTTAGGCCAATATAGAAATATAGATTCCTATTATGCACTATCCATTTTTCCCATTACCTGAAGAAATATGACCTGAACAGTATTCACTTAGATCTTTTCTTCCTACACTTTTTAAAATTATTGGTCACTTTTCAATAGGTATGTTAATAACTGGCTTGACTCCTAAATGGCCACATGACTTCTGTTATTCTATTTTCAACATAGACATTGTTTGGAGACCTCTAAACATATACAGCACAATCCACAGCTGAAATTAGCTATGTAGGTGTAGCTACACTTACAGGGTTTTGTGATCAGTACTATAGGAATCTATATTCTTTTTTTAAAAGATTTTATTAATTTATTTTTAGTGATAGGAGAAAGCAGGGAGAAAGGGAGAGAAACTTCAATGTGTGGTTGCCTGTCATGTGGCCCTCACTGGGGACCTGGCCTGCAACCGAGGCATGTGCCCTGACTGGGAATCGAACTGGGGACTTCCTGGTTTGCAGCCCACGCTCAATCCACTGAGCCACACCAGCCAGGACTGGAATCTATATTCTTAATATGAACCATAACTAAGTGCTTTCAGATCTAAGCTAGATCTCAAATGGCCTTCAAAGTCAGTACGGTATCTTCATCCTATAGATCAATGACTTCCTGCCTTTTTTCTGCTTATAAAAGGGTTTTTTTTTCATTTTTTTATTGCTTCATTAAATCACTTAAGAAGAATTAGGCTACCTAATGTTTATTTTTTTGGGAAATGCAACTCTGTTATACAATAATGAACATTTAACTATTACTAGAAATTAATATTCAAATATTTATAGAGGTCCACTGGCATCTCCAAATATAAAAGATACCAAAACTAAAGTCTAACAATTGATGACTACTTGGGATCGGTTACTAGAAATGTAGTCAAGTTTAGTTTGTGCCTAAGCAATATATAGCACGAAAGACCCTAACACAAGTGTCTTAGAGAAATTTAGAATATATGTGACATAAATAGGATGTTTAGCCTTTGGAAGAGAAAACTAAAGGATGTACTAGCTGTTTTTAAATACTTGAAGGCTGCCACGTGGAAGAAATAACTTGTTCTGTGTTATGTCAAGGACAGAACCAAGACTGGGAAGAGGGAAGTTAGAAAAATTCAAATTTTAAACTAAGAATGTTTTTCACAAGTTGCCAACCAATAAAGCGGAAAGCAGTCCCTCTAATAAACAGCTGTATTTGGGTTGAAAAAGATGACTTCTAAAGTTTTGAGTTAGTAAAAACCACTCCCATCTCCACAGTCTATCCTCAAAGGTAAAAGGAACTATTATAACAATGTTGTCTGGACCAAGGCCTAGCTGAACCTTCAGTTTTTCCGAAAGTGTCCTAGCCTCAAGGATTCTAAATACATTGAGATTTGTAAGCAGTGTACATATGTGAAAGTTTCAGTTAGTTTAGGCTTCATTTTCTGATTTTTAAAAAGTGATAAGCATTCATCTTATAAATAACTCTTTAAGCATACTTCATAATTGTGGATATAGTACTGCTCTTCCTTTGTAAAACCATGTAAACACAAAACACATGTGATCCTCACAATGTTCTAGCATTCAAAAATTCCAGAAAAGTAACGTTAATCATTGTTTGGCCAGGTATTCAACACTAGCATTAACAATTTGAATAATCCAATTAAAGGGGAATACCAAATTAGCTTTGTGAAGAAGGGTACAAAATTACAAAATTAATTATTTTGATGTGTATTATTTTTGATATTATTTCAACAGAAACAGGGAGTCTATACCTCTGTTATGTTTAGAAGAGGCTAAATTGCCAATCTACATTTTCAAAAAGTTTTGAGAAGTAAACAGATTACAGCAGACCTCTGCCTTTTAAAAGTGAGATATCCATCACCCTTGCTGAGTAGTTCAAGTCAATCCATGTTTCTCTCTCTCCCCCCCCCCACTTCTTGTCTCTAAAATCAACCAATAAATTAAAAATTTTTAAATGTAATCGACACTCTTCAGGACTCAATTTGGACACTGATAAAAATCAGATCAATGGACAAATTTGTATTTGGAAGGAATAAAATAGAAGTATTTAGTAGAATATAATCTTAGAAAGCACACAAATGGCTATAGTCTATTTTGAAAATAAGTATTTATTTATTAAAAAAACAGAAAACATGTCTGTTAAAACCTGGTTAGTTTTGACATCGGATGTCAGTGATCAAAAAAGTGTAATGAGCAAGCAAGCAAGAATTACTGTTACTAAGTAATATTATATCCACCTCTTCAATTATACCCCATTGAAAAATATAATGGTAGCTTTAAGAACTTTAGACATAGCTCTGGGTTTATGTCATTATTTGCCTTTCATGTTTTAGTGATGTCCAGAGGGTAATATTCTATTATACCAAATCAAATGCACATTCTAAGAAAGTCCTTCTCTTTTAACATAGTCTATTAAATCTTCCTGTCTGAAACCCTCAGGACCAAATGGCCTTTACATTTGTCTAAGGAGAAGACGCATAGCCATCAAGTTTTTTTGACATTGCATCTTTGGCCCCCATTCTTAAAAAGAATATAGGTGTAGTTTAATTAATACTGATTTTTTTTAATGTGCAGAAATCTAACCCTGCTTTTTAAATCAAATAAAAAGGAAAATATGGCACCATTCCAAAAATCTAAGGCCAATAAAAAATGGCAGCTGTACAAAGATATAAGCAAATCATAAATACAGCAAATTTGTTGTACAAAACATACAATGATTTATTTTTAGTAAGAACAAGCTTAATAACAGGCAAAAGAAACCAAATACTGCATTATATTGAATACTAAGGTTAAGTAACCATAATCATCTCATAAATCTTCCAATATCATAACTACTTGCTTTTTAATAACTATATGTAACCCTCATTTTTAAATTAAATGTCTATTCAACAATGCTAACTGATACAAATACATTTATGCAAATTTACATCCTAGGACACCAGAGTAAGTATAAGACATTAGTCAAGGATGAATAAAAAAGTTCTATTCTTCTTCATCATCTGTATGATCAGGTGGCAAAGGACGTACTCTGTGGAAAGAACAAAGAACTTCAATAGTCAGCATCAACTACTTAAAACACAACAAAAAATTGTTACAAAGTTATAAATTAGAACATTAATTAATAATGCAGTGAGTCTAGTCAAGTGACTGGAAATGAGAGAAAAACCATTAATTGATAAACAACTACAAATTCCAAGCGCTACAGCAACAAATTTTTAAACAATTTATTTTCTCTGTTAATTTGCCAAATCAATGTTTCTCCTCTAGGTTCACTGCCATCTTAATTAAAAAAGAAATTCGTTTCTATAAGATCAATTTTCAACATGTTAAGTGGATGACAAAAGTGGAATATAATCCTTCAGCAAGGACTTTGTGATAATAAAAAGCAAGAAATTTAACAACCCTCCTGAGTAGACAAAACAGCAACAAGTTGTCATATTTGACTACATACCCTTTTGGACCATATAAATGTATTACTTGATTAGAAAGCTCCCCCAATTGTTTAAGGTGGCACATGGTAGTTAGAACTTTTGAAAAATAATTAACATTATCCCAAGCCATTTGTACTCATTACACTTTGTACAGATAAAAGTCAATTAAAAACATAATCATAAATCAGAATTGTTTTTAGAGCTAATGAAAATTTGTGAGATCTATCCTAAAATAATCAGTTTTCAAATCAGATCCAGTAACCTGAAGAGTCATAGAGCTAAACAGTTAAATGAAGGTAGCTAAAATGAAGGTATTCTGACTTGATATGAGATTCTCATTGACTCTCCTATTAGATTACTGAGAGGACTTCATTTTATTTTCTTGGAAATTGAATCCAGTTAACAGAGAACACTATCATGAACCAAAGTTCCTTTTGGGAAGGACTTGATTGACTTTAGTCATCATGATTCTGTTCAGATTTTAAGTAACTAGTCTCACTTGATTCTGACTCCCCCATGCAACTGATTCAGTAAACTGATTCAGTTTGCTCTGCCTCTGTGAGAAAAATAAAGCCAAAGATTTATGAAATAGGGAGTTAATAGAAGAAGCCCTTCTGATAAACTGAGTTAACAATTTACTGTTAATAGTTAATCTACTGATTTACTATCAATAAAGGGTACTTACAACTCTCCTAAACAAAGAGCAATCTAAGAAAAGCACTAAAGGAATAATATAAACTTTTAAAATTATACCATAGATCCAAGTGCTTTATGAGACTACATGTGTAATCTTTCTCCATGTGGTGGAGAAAGATAGTTTTTATTACTATGATGATCAATGGTATAACCATATTTGGCTATTTTGCCAAATATTGTTTCCTTAATGGAAGTCACAAATAACTCAAAAGTCTCAAATAATTCAAAAGTAATATATTCAAGAGCTGATACTATTAGCTTGTTTATATTCAAATAACAAGGAAGAATGATGCCAGACAATTAGAGGGAACCGGAAGAGACAAAATGTAAAATTTAGTTACTATTCCAGAGTCTGACACTCCTTTCAAATATTGCATAAGATAGTAAGCATTTAGTAACCATTTACTAAATAACCTTATGAACATTGGCTAATTCTTAAAATTTTATATGCATAGACATCACTTTATATGTCAAATACTTTAATTGCTCTCCCATCCATTAATTTTTATTTAGCTTGTATTTAATGCAAATCAATTCCAAACATAATGTACAATGCAAAAAAGATGTATAGTGTTCATATATGAAGCAAAAGAGTGTTCATGTACACACACAGATCTCACGTAGCTTGAGATCTGTTGGATCTGGTTATTCCTGTGTGGGTTTCTAAAGATGGCACATATTGGGGGGAAGTAGAGGAGAATATAAGGTGGATAATGGAAGGAGACTTATCTTGGGATGCTGACAACACAATACAATATACAGATGATGTATTATAGGATTGTACACCTGAAGCCTATATTATTTTATTAATCAATGTCACCCCAATAAATTCAATAAAAACATAAAAAAATAAATAAGTAAAAATGGCAAATATTGGCTTTAGACTTAAGAATACTATGGCCATGCTGAATACTGTAATATCTAAGCATTGGTGTGTGAACTTGTGAACCAAAGATTTCATGCAGTGTCTATTTTTAAAAAGGCTTTTTTGTAGATCAAGGCAGCTGTAAAAGTTTCAATTTCCAGAATCAAGTACACTTAGGTTTAGGATCAAGTTCTAACAAACTAAAAAACACTGACTGATATAGAAAGTATTCCAAATGTAGCTATTCTGATTCATAAAACTTAAAATAGTTACAGAAAGAGCACAAGAGTTGTGAATTTAATGCAGCAAGTTTCCAGTCTTCATTTTCCAAATACCTAATAAACATTCTTTTTGTCTCCTTCATATATTTGCCTTTTAATTTCAGGATTTGTCAAACATGACTTCACAACATAAATTTTTAAATTACAAAAATTATTCAATACATGCAGAAATAAAAAGCAGTATTTTTTAAGATTGATATCAATGCACTTCTAATCTTTGGAATCAACTTAGGTTATCCAAGTTAGCTAAATGAATCTGGCACTCCTATAGGGTGGGAATGTGTGATAGGAAATACCTATCATTTGGTTTTTAGTGTATATGCAAGAATGACTCATGGCTGGATTTGTAGTAGATTCCAATCCATTATTACCCTGGCATATGTCAATTACTACATTAAATGCATTGTCAATTCCAAAGCTCCAGAGGAAAGAGTTAAGTTCCCAAAAGAATAATGAAAACTTAACAATGTAAAACTTTATGTAGAGCATATCAGAATTAAATTAGGGCTGCTGAAATACACACAGAATTTATAGTAACACCTGGTAGTTCCTTCAAATGTACATATAAATGAATCACAGAAGCTTTTTATTTTACCTAATCATTTTATTGCCTTCTAGATTTACCGAAGCAGAGTGAAAGCTGACTCTCCATTCCACAGTTCATCCTTTTTCTTGATCCAGGTGAAACTACTCTTATTTTCAAGGTAAAGTTTTAAGTGTCCTTACTTAAAAATTTTGAGCTACGTTCAATCACATCATTTTCAACGTTGTTTCTCTCTGTTCTTGCACATGAAACTCCAGCAAATTTAATATTGCATTCATTACGTAGTCAAACCTTCAGATCTTTAAACCAGTCCAATGTGAGATTCTCAACATTTTCCTCATTGGTAGATTAGTAATTCATAGATTTGATGAAGACTTGTTTTTTCTTTGCCACATTGGACTGCAAGATGCCATATGAATTGGGCCGTAGAATATGGGTTGGTGAACCGTAGATGTTTCTTGGCCTAAGTCTCTCAAAGGTAGAGATGTAGAAGGGCAAAAAAGACTGCGAAGAGACTGGCTGTTAACTGCAGGGCACAACTGTGCCTTGTGGTTTCAATACGCTCTGGTGTGCTGGTCAAAGGAACGTGCGAATAAATCCGCGCGGGTAGAAGCAACACCAGAAGCAGCAGCGCCAGACTGAGCCCGGCCACCAACGTCTTGCCCATGTTGGTTACCGCACCTCGGATCAGACTTGCCACCGTTTGGTGCGATGGAGGATCTTGGGCTCCAGCATGGTGCAGGAGAGGTAACTAGCAGGCTCTTATATCAGGAGGCATCATAATGGAAGTGATGTGGCACTACCCACCCACATGCACTCACCATTGGCCACTCCCAATCAAATAACTTGTTTTCAAAATAAAGTATTTCAGCTGTTTAGAGAATCTGGCCCCTCTATCACTTATTAATCTATACGAAATGTTTCCACTGTCTTTTCTTTCCAGGTGGCACTATTTATTTTCCTGATTCTTAAAGTAACAGGTATGTTTGTTGTTGAAAATTGTTAACGCTTGCAAGACAACCTCAACCTCTGGGCAGCAACCAGCAGGATGAAGAAGCAGGAGAAGGCAACTGAAGAGCCTTCAGGTCCCTGGCCATTGGTTCACCCACAACCCCCATCGTCATGCATCCTTTCTTGTCACAATCACTAAACATCTAGTGCTAAACCTACCTGTATGGGCAGCATAGATAATGCTACTCAGATCTGCTTCCCTACCTACCCCCTGAGAAGCAGTTTCAGGTAAATCTTCATGGGCATTTCTGGATTGATGGTGGCTTTGAGCCCACAGAAGCTTTCTTTTCAAATTGTGCAAGCAAGTATATTCTGAAAGAGGCATTTTACTATGTCTCTTCATGGTTGTGAAATCCAGGCAAAAGCAATGAGGAAGTTTAGAAAGGAGAATTAGCCAAAATGGGCTACAATGATATTTAAATCATCCATTTAAAGTGAGCTGATCATGCTATGGCTGGTGTGGCTCAGTAAATTGAGCGTCGGCCTGGGAACCAAAGAATTACTGGTTCAACTCCCAGTCAGGGCACATGTCTTGGTTTCAGGCCAGGTCCCCAGTAAGGGGTATGTCAGAACCAATCACCCACTGATGTTTCTCTCTCTCCTTCTCCCACCCTTCCCCACTGTCTAAAGATAAAAATCTTTAAAATAAAGATATTATTTTATTTAAAATAAATAAAATCTTTAAAAATAAAATAAAATAAGCTGATTGTGTGGGGGGCTGGATAGAGGGAGCAAGGGGGAAATGGGACAACTGTAATAGCATAAAATATGTTATTACATAAGAATAAAATATTTTTAAAAGAATAAAGTGAGCTGATAGTATTTTGCTAATAAACAGGGTACATCTTGTACACGCAAAAATGAATTCACCTCTCTCTGCAGCTAATGGAAAACTGTTAAGGGGAGCCGATCCAAAGAGAACATTTGCTCCTTTCCATCATCTTAGCACCTTGTTTTGCCTCTTCAAATCATGATGTGCACAAACCGTCTTTTCAATGCAATGCAGCTAGTATTTTGATACCTGTAACTCTGGGGGCAGGGTGCAATTGTTTAAGAATCATGGATTTATTTTTTGGATGTCTTTGGCTATTGTCCTTGTGTATCCTGACAGTGCCATGTGTATCAGCCCATGTCAGTCAAGATGGGTAATCATTGAAATGCCAGATTTCTAAGTTAAATGTTCAAGAACTCAACATGTAAATAAATGCTGTTTTGGGGATATGAAAGAAAGAAAGAAAGAAAGAGAGAAAGAGAGAGAGAGAGAGAGAGAGAGAAAGAAGCATCTAATTAAAATATGAGGGAAGGTTTTTGCCCAGAGATGACCTCTATTAATATTTGGTGTATTTTATACATGTTATACTTTTGCATCCTGAATGTTTGCTTAATACTCATCATGAGCATTTTCCTCACATTAAAAGCTTAAAAAGCAGCCCTGGCTGGTGTAGCTCAGTGGATTGAGCGCAGGCTGCAAACCAAAGGGTCGTCAGTTTGAGTCCCAGTCAGGACACATGCCTGGGTTGCAGGCTAGGTCTCCAGTGAAGGCCATGTGAGAGGCAAACCACACATTGATGTTTCTCTCTTTCTTCTTCCCTTCCCCTCTCTAAAAATAAATAAATAAAATCTTTTTTAAAAAGCTTAAAAAGCATGAGTTAATTGGCACACTGAATTCTGTGTGTGTGCAGTTTTATCCCCACCTTATTTTGAAGTATTCTGATGTATTTATAAAGAAGTTGTAAAGAGAATATACCATGGAGTTTGTTTTGATTGTTTCTAAATGATGGGGTTTCTATATTTTCCAACTTTTCTACATTGTTCATATATTTCTTCTGGAGATTGAAGGAGTAGTTTTTTAAGGGATAAGATTAATGGAACTCAGACTAGATTAAAACAACATGGAAACAGCTTTTTGGAAAAGACTATAGAAAATAGACTGTAACATTTAAAGAATAAAGACAGGAAGTTTGTGGTTAATACAGTAGCACTCATCTTGATGGGATCCTCTGTAAGTGGCTAGACTGAGTAAAAATAATATCTTTCATTGATGTTTAAAATTTGGGGGTGACCATTATTAAAAGATTAGCACACGTTTTTAAAATCCTTGGTTTGTATTTTCTTACCTTCTCAAAGAGAAACCTTAAAGTTACTCAATATCCTGTTGTCTTTTATTTTCAAGAATACAATTATTTTCTTAAATTCCAGAATGTAAAGACTCACTTTCTCTTTCCTTTTCCTAGGCCACTGCTTCCTGCCTCTTCAGGAATCCGATTCTCTTTTTCAGAATCTTTAGGGGACAGGCTGAAGAATTCTCCAATTCCTTTTTGCCATTTAGGAGTTGGGCGCACACAAACTGGATTCCCTCCTGCATATTTATTTTCAGCTATAAAATATAAACAGATAGAACTAAATAAGAACTAAGCATACAGTAGCCATCCCTTAAAGGGATACAATTTCTTAATATTAAATCTAAAGGGTATTAAATGATAGTACCATCTTAAAATATAGAATTGGAAAATGTGACAAAAAAGTATCAGTATAATGTATAACAATACTGTTTTCATATCCTTTAACTAGAAAAATAGCATGAAGAGTTTTTATAATTGGAAAATATTTTTTCATATTTTGCCTACAAACAGAGCTATTTGAATAGCCTTATATACTGCCATAATAAAGTTTGATGCACTTTTCCTAATATAAGGTAGCACCCTGTGGTATAAACTGCCAAATTTCAACTTAATAAGATCATTTAGTTAAAACTCACACATAAAACATGTGCAGCAGTGAACATTTTCACATAAACAGTTCCACTCTTCAAAGCACTTGGCTCCTTTTCAGTTCATAAGGTAAATCCAATTCCTGATTATTATAAAACAGTAATCTAAAGGAAAAATTGAGGGAAAACTCCCGTCCTTTTTATGAAGTAATGATTAGAATACCAAGAGGAGCAAATTATTATTTTGATACCTATATCTTTTGTTTTAAAAACATTTGTCACAAACTCTAGCTATTAAAAAATACTATCAAAAACTCTAGCTGATAAAAAATACTTCCATATATACCGTCTGAAATTATATTGCTTGTATTTTTAAGAAAATAAAAATGGTCTTGCCCTGGCTGGTGTAGCTCAGTGGATTGAGCACGGGCCTTCGGACCATATGATCGTGGTTCGATTCCCAGTTAGGTCAGGGCACATGCCTGGGTTACAGGCCAGTTCCCAGCAAGGGTTTCACAAGAAGCAACCATACATTGATATTTCTCTCCTTCCCTTCCTCTCTAAAGATAAATAAATAAAATCTTAAAAAAATAAAATAAAATGGTCTTTAAGTATTAGTGATTTTTTGGTTCATAATTTTCTTGAAGAAACCTTATGGGAATGCTTTTACTAATAAGAAGTACTAATAAGAAGTATATAGTAGCAACAGATGGCTCAGCATAGAATTCAAACTCAGCTCTGCAGATTTAGGTGTGTCTTTTACTGAGGTAACACAACTTAATGAACTCAAATTTCCTCATCTTTAAAATAAGAGTATCACCGATTTCACATAGTTGATTATTGACTAAAAATAGAGATACGTGGCCCTGACCAGTGTGGCTCAGTTGGTTGGGCGCTGTCCCACAAAGGGTCACCAGTTTGATTCCCAGTGAGGGCACATGCCTCAGTTGCAGCCAAGTCCCTGGTTGGGGCATGTGAGAGTGGCCATCTGTTGATGTTTCTCTCACACATCGATGTTTCTCTTTCTCTTTTTCCCTCCCCTCCTCTCTCTCTAAAAGTAAATAAATAAATAAAATATTTTGTACAAACACAGAGATCTGTAAAATGCCTCAATAGGTGGATTTTCCAACAGAAGTTCACGAAGGGCCTATTCAGTTGTGTTTCAGCAGTGGGCCACACAATGTGCCCCTAACTGGAATTTAGTCTAGCGATACAGGGTATAAGATACTCTCAATAAATTCATCCACTTTCAGAAAATGTTTACTTATGATTCCTTTTTTATCTAAACAGATTGAAATAGGCCCTGGCAGAGTATCTCAGTTGGTTAAAGCATCATCTCCATACACCAAGGTTGCAGGTTCGATCACCAGTCAAGATACAGACAAGAAGCACCAGTGAATGCATAAATCAATGCATAAATCAATGCGAACAACAAATCAATGTTTCTCTCTCAAAAAAATCAATAAATAAAAAATTAGAGAGATTGAAATAGTAAATATTTTCTAATGAAATGCTTAGAATATGGGGAAGACGGAATTAACAGAAAAACCCATGAAGTCCTTCACAGTGCTTCCCTGTCTGTTTACTTAAATAGACCTTGTGGAATTAATCTTCCTTACTGCTCAATTCCCACCGAAAGGAATGAGGCACCAGATGGCATGGTGTTTTCTCAACCTATTCTTGCACAGGAGCAGTGTGAACCTATTTCCCTAGCAGCGTTTTTGATACTATGACTCGGAGGCAGCGTCCCAAGCTGCAAAGTTGGAAAACACACAGACACCACACCCTCCTCCCAAAATGTAAGGGAAAAGAAAAACATGCCGAAATGAAAATAAAACATTTACACTAAAAAGCCAATGTGATTGGTACTGTCAACGATCGCCCTAATTCTTAAATCAGTAAAGGGATGCTTACATAAGCTCTTACAAGGAGAAGCTATTCGCCAATATTAAAAACAAAAACACTAAAGCAGAAAAAATAAGTTTGGAGATAACTTGTGTTTGTCCCCAACGCCGGGACTCGAGACTCTCTTCCGTGCAAGCCCCACCTCTACACCAGCTCGCCCAGAGGCCAAGGCCCCCCATTATATCATAGCGCAAGGAAGGAATTCGGGCCCGAGGATGTCAGGAAAATAAATTCCACGCTGGTCGGGGATTTGCAGCTGGGAGAAATGTGGCGCCAGGCCCGATTCCCCTTTTGAGAGTGTTCTTCCAGGAGCTTGCAGGGCGGGGCACTTTTTACCTTTCCTCGATGAAGGGGACCTGGAATTAGCGGAGGTGCAGGAACCAAGCACCTTCCTGGGGGCTCGAGAAGCCACCACTGCGGAGAAAGGCAAAGACGGGCGTTCAGAAGGGGACAACAAGGAGTCTCGGAACTACATTCTCACCACAGTCCCCGACCCAAGCTCTTGGGAGAGCCCCACGATGCACAACCCTCCCCTGCCCTCTCAGCTCCTTCTTCCTCTTTAAGGGGCTGGGCCGCTGCTTCGCCCGACAGTGGGGGACCACCCCCATCTCTTCCGCCCCCGGCGCGGGGTGTGAGGGAGCAACCCCTGCCCTCCGCTACGGAGCTGCGTTGCCTCACCTTTTCTGTAGGTGCCTGGGACACTGTCTGCTTTAGTCCGCACCATACTCAAACTCGAGGAGATGAAAGCAACCAAATGGTTTTCTAGCTGAGAGTGTTTCCCTGGACAAAACCCCGAAAATGAATCTCCCGCCACGGTTTATACTGGTCTCTTTCCCGCGCACTCCGCCGAGTCTCCCCATTGGTTCCGCGCCTTCTCCCCATTGGTTCTGCGCTGCACCCCGCGACCAATTGCCAGTGTCCAGTGAGCACAGAGAGGGGGCTGGGCACAGTGCCAGCACATCCATCAACTCGCAGAAGCTTGTGATTTGTGCCCCCCTCAAGATGGGCGGCGCTGGGGTGCTTTCCTCGGGTGCCCAGTGTGTGGGTGCTAAGATTTTGAACTAGGGAAATGTGCCTCCTCTGAAAAGAAAACCCAGAAAAAAAAAAAAAGAATTCTACCGTTCGTTTAAAAATTACCTCAGGGTTAAATCCATAGTGATTGACTCCTGGAAGTGAAATCTGAAACGAAGCGGACGTTTTCATGCAAATCAAATTAAATATAACTTTTTAATTTGTCTTTTTTAAGACTTCATGCAGAAACGCTCTCCTCGGCGTCCCTAACTAAAACAATTTTACGGGATGGGAGAATAGGAAACTAATACAACTTATTTACTTTATTTTAATTGTTGTTCAAGTACAACAATTAAAGACAGACAGTTTTCTGTCTTTTATTCCCATCCCAGCCCACCCCCTAATACAATTTATTTATAGGTTGTTTTTTTAGGGTGGTGTGAACCTAAGGGAAAAAAGCAATGAATCGTATATACAGATACACATAAAAGGAACAAATTAATAAAAAGTCTTCTCGAGACCTGTATAGGTGTCGAGACCCAGAGCTGTTTAAAAAAACATGCCAAATGTGCTTACAGTACATCTCTGGCAGACAGCATAATTCTAAAATAGGAGCTCATAACTATTTTCTATTCCTGTGCCTATCTTCTAATTAGTCACAGTACCCCTGGGGAGTGATTTTCACTCTCTGAATACCATACATAAAACATCAGATGAGCTTGCTTTGGAATTTTTTTAAATGCTCACTTGAAAAGTAACCCTGAACACATAAGCACAGCCTTGATTTTCTCCAATAAATTTTGTTTGAACTTTTGGAACCGCTTAGTACTTTAACAGAATCAACAACTACTTTGTGTTTTACAATTAAATAATCTAGACAAGTGAAATTAGCATTATAATAACAGGAATTGTATTGAAAAATCACTTGTAGCTTTGTCTAAGCCTTGGACTCTAAGTTTACAGCCAAATTCCTATCAGAAAAATCAACAAGCCCCAGGGTATATTCCTTTGTTATTTATCATCATGCCCGGCCCAATACACAATGGTTCTTCAATACACATTATTTCCCTTTAAGTGGCTTCCACAAAGACCTAAAATACTTAATATGAACTCATATTCCAGATCCCTGCAGAAATTAGAACCGCATAGAGAATTTGTTTGTTTTTTCTCCTGGTTGCAAAGAACTGCAAATATTGTTTTGCGCACAAGTATAGTCCACAGCCAGGTGTGTCAAACCCTCTGGTGTCTTTGGGCCACACTGGAAGAAGAGTTGTCTTGGACCACACATTATATACATTGCAATACGTGATCACAAAAAAAATCTCATAATGTTTTAATTAAATTTGCAATTTTGTTTTGGGGTGCATTCATAGCCATCCTGGGACACATACGGCTTGTGGGCCACATTTGGACACCCATAGACACATTACTACAGCTGTGTTTGTAGGTTTGTCTTTTTAATACCAATTGTGATTGGGAAGGACACATGTTAGAGTAGAAAAATAGGGAAAGAGCAGTAATCACTAGTAAAAATTCTTAATTTTAATGTTTGCCTTGAGGGAGTGCTTCTCCTTTAAAGTTATATAAAACAGAGAGTTCTGTGGTGTGAATATGAAAATTTCAAAGGCCTAGGACATTAAGAAAAATAATGGAATATATGAATAAAATTTATGCCTAAATTTATATGAAAGAATATCTTTAGGTCATGTTAAATAGATGTGCTTGCTTTGCTCGAGCAGAATGCATTTTAATAAATAGTAATGATTGTAAATGGCATCACATTATATTACAGTCATTACAAACTACAGATCACAATCCTTAACATGCCCTATGCAGAAAGAACATTTTATTTTTGAGTACCTAGTAATTTCATCATAATATGTATGATGTAGTAAGTTTTATTATAAAAAAACAAGTCATACTCCATCTTCAAGAAGTTAATATTTTATTTATTCTATTTTTTAATGTTCTTTTATTTTTTATTTTTTTAAAGATTTTTAAAATTTATTTATCTTTAGAGGGGAAGAGAAGGAGAGAAGGAGAGAAACATCGATGTATGGTTGCCGTATGGTTGCCTTTCGTGCGTCCCCTGCTGGGAACTGGCCTGCAACCCAGGCATGTGCCCTGACTGGGAATGGAACCCCTGTTGTCTGGTTCACAGGCCTGCGCTCAATTCACTGAGCTAGCCAGGGCCATTTATTCTATTTTTTTAAAGATTTTATTTATTTATTTTTAGACAGAGGAGAATGGAGGGAGAAGGAGAGTGAGAGAAACATTAAGGTGTGGTTATCTCTCACATGCCCCTCACTGGGAACCTGGCCTACTACACAGGCATGCGCTCTGCCTGGGAATTAAACTGACAACCCTTTGGTCTGCAAATGAGTGCTCAATCCACTGAGCCACAGCAGCCAGGGCAAAAAGTTAGTACTTTAGTTGTGGGGACTGAAAAGATAAAGAAACAGGTAAACTATTTGATACGTTATAATTAATATTAAGTGCGGAGGATTTTTATGAACAAAACTTGTACCTACGATTAATGAACGTTCACAGAGTATTTTAAACTAGCAAATCACGTTTTCCAAATTAATTAATAACAGACTAAGATCAATGTAAATCAATACACTTATGATTTTATTTATGTCAATAAAAACATTAACATAAAAAGATGAAACAGCAACCAATTAATGTAATTACTTAGTCTAAATAGCCTAATGGAGATGGAGAACCTGTAAGTATAAACCAAAGCCAGCCAATCAAACATATTGGTTAAATATATCAGAAGACATTATGCTCTTCATAAAAGTCTGGTTAATTTTTCCCCAGTCCACAGTGGATTACGGAAAAGCTGGGTTGAAATACATAACTTCAACTTCTTAAAAATCACTACGGAGACTTCATATGGAAGGTCTTCAAAGCCATAACCCAACACCTGTGTTATTAAAAGTTTCTCTACTCGAGTTTGCTGGTCTTGGTCATCTTGAAAAACACCTGGCTCAAAAAATGAAATAGCAAGAGGCTTTAGCAACGTGAATCTATTATTAAACTACGGCGAAGGTAAGAGGAAGCGGAATTAATAACATCACTACCACTAAAGTAAATCCTTATAGTGCTTTACTCTAGCTTCCAAATACTATTTTAAATGTTTTACATAAAACCAGACAATTTAAAATTGGCCCCTGAAAAATAAAAATAAAAACGGCCCCTCAGATTACGGGTTTTGTTTTTCTTAAACTGTAGTTTTCACAGGTATCTTTACTGTCTTCTCAACAGAATTCCCCATTTTCAAGTCCTAGGACTGATGGTGCGGAAGAATCACAAGCAGATTCTCTGCTACCTGTGTAAATACTACTCGCAGCTTGCAGGAGGAAGAGCCGGCAGAGGTGGGAGGGATCTGTGCAAAGGGCTTCTCAACTGCGCAGAGCGGTGCTGCCTGGCGGAACCCTGGTAAACGATGTCGGTGTTGCGATGGGAACGAGTCCGGCGCCGGACTCGAGGCTTTCTCAGCGCAGCTGATTCCGGCCGGGGAAAATGGCGGTGGCTGGGGCGGCGTCCAGAGAGCAGCTGGTGGGGTGGTGTACCCAGCAGCTACGGAAAACTTTTGGCTTGGATGTCAGCGAGGAGATCATGCAGTAAGACCGGCTCGGGTCCGAGGGGGGAAGGAGGTTTGGGATGTGATCTGGCTGAGGGAATCAGGATACAGGGAGGATTAAAAAGTTAATGAAAATGAGGTAATGTGTTAGACGGCTGCTGTTCGTCTCTAGGCACCGAATTTTCACCTTCGGTCTTATAATTTAGTTTCTAGAGTAGGGTGTCATGTTCCACAATCGCCCGATTGGGCCTTTTTTTCTGTGGAAACGCCACATTCCTGTAATTAGAACTTGTAAGATTATCCCGAGAGTCAGTTGCCATGTAGATTTTAGAGAGAAGGGGCAAGCCAAATTGTCTTTTCAAAAATATCCTACTCTGGAACATTTTACTCTGCCCGAACTGGGTTGTGTCACATAGGACCTAGGATTTAAATGGGGGCGGCGTGATAACGATGCAAAGCTCCTGATTCAAGAGACCCAGGTTCTATTTTTTGTTGTCACTTACTAGTTTTGGAACCTTGGGCAACTTAATCTCCTCTTCTGTACCTTGGTTTTCTCATCCATAAACTGACTAGTACAGCTTATCATATATTTTATGATTTTTATGAAGAGATGGTGACATAATTTGATATCTATTTTCAGTTGATTTGTTTAACAAATATTTGTTGCGCTACTACCAGCCAGGTACTGGAGCATCAAAGAAATTGCTACAATCGGGTTCTGATTGGTTGATGAGTCTTCAAGTAGGGAAAATTTAAGGTGCTGTGGGAGCACTGAATAAAGTACTGTCTTAAGATATGAGCAACTTCAAAGTTTACTGAAACAGATGACTTTCACCCTGAGAACTAAAATATGGCTAGGTGGATATGCAGTGTACAGGTGAGAAGGAAAAACTTCCACAAAAATTGGTCTTGATTAGGGAATCTGTGTTCCTTGATTTGATTCCTTTTTCGTTGATGCTGTAACCAGAATTGCAATTCGAGGACTTTTGTAGGAAGTAAGGAGAGTTTCTGAGTTTGGGAGAAAATAGACTTATTAGTAAAGAGAAAGGTAAGAGAGCTTGTATTAAAGGATTTTTTTGAAACACTGGAATAGATTTATCAGAAACAAACCAATCTAAAAACCAGCCAGATAGTATGGCTTGGCTTTACCCTTGGTTGAGGACAAGATCTGGGCAAGTAATTTTTCGAACATTTTTTTAAAACAGTAGAATGCTGTCAATTGGAATAATGA